GAATATGAGCGACTTTTCCTTTAAAGTCAGACTTATAGCCTGAGCATCCACCGTTTTAAAGATGACAGTCGTCTGAATTCAGGGGTTTTTAAAAGTGAACCCTCTGCTCTGCTCTGATCAAATACAGCAGAGCTGGTTGGATTGTCCGTAAAGCAGAGAAGCTAAAGTGAACGGATATTCAAAGGCAATGAATGAATACAGAATATTCCCATACCGCTCGTCCCAAACAAACCCAACTACCAGCAAAGACAAGGATCTTCCTGTAAAAAGGCAACTTTTTAATCCATGTTTTATTTATTGTAAAAGAGCTGAAACCTGGAAGACATTGTCACTGTAGAAATAAAAACTTTATGGACACAGTAATAAAGCTCAAAGTATTTAAGGTTACAAAAAAAAAAAAGCTTATTAAAGTCCATTAAAATCTGCCTCCTTCCATATTCAGTACTTTAACAGAACCTTCAGTTGGTTTTCATTCATGGAGTGCTGGAAACATGTCAGACATATCCTGTGATGTCATATCCTGCTGCGGTGGGCTTCTTCACTCCTGGGGCTCTGGGAGCGCTCGACTCTGAGCTGCTAGTATTTCGTACTAGTGTCTGCCCCCTGCTGGCCGGGTGGATGTCCCCCGCCTGCAGGGTGGGGTTCCGGTAGGTCTGTGAAGTTGTTCGAGGTCCTGCGACGGACATGCCAACGCCTGCTGGATAAGGATATCCTCCATGCCGCCTCCCACGGCCGCCTTCCTGCTCCTCGCTGCAGGAGACACTCAGCATCCCCCCACCCAACATGGAGACCAGCGCAGAGGTCAGGCCGAGGTACAGGCATTCACCTAGCTCATACTTCATGCCGGCAGGTATGTTTGGGCTGTAGAAGGTCTGGACCACCTCGTGTGTGGTCCACGCTACAGGAATAAGAGCCAGGAAACCTCCAGTGAGAAACAAAACCCCGCTAGCCCCGGCCACGCGGCTCTTAGCCGACCCTGCATTCTCCAAGCAAAGGGTGCACTGCATCCCTAGGGAGGCTATGGCAACCGCAAAGATGGACAGCACGACGGAAATGACCATGAGAGCGCGAGAGGCCTGCAGGTCAGCAGAAAGCGCCAGCATGGAGCTGTAGGTCTCACACTGAAAGGCCCCTGTGCTCTGATAGACGCACTCCATCCACAGGCCCTTCATGTTCACCACAACTGTGACGATGTTGGAGCCGACGTGAGCAGAGATCTGCCAGTAAGGCAGCACCGTGGCCACCAGCGTTCCCAGCATGCCGAGGAGACCCAGGATGAAGCCCATCAGCTCCAGAGCCAGGGACGCCATTTCAACTGCAGCAAAGACGGATATCTAGAAACAAGAACACAAATTTAGAAAAATATGAATTCATCAGAGCTTCTGCTTTATATATAACATTCACATCACAATGTAAGAGAAACACAATGCCATGAAATGAGACGTCAGTCTTTCTCTCACAAAGGGACTGGATTTTCCAAAGGAAGATGAGAAATGTCTGCACGACAACTTTGTAAAACAATTGAATTTTATGAAGATATATAAATAGTGAATTACATGGTGTTTCATACCATGAATGTAATAATAAAAACAGACGGGATGCAATGAAATTCAGCATCAGTATACAGTTAGCTTTAAGGGAAGATTTGCAGCAAATGAAAGCAAGTTACTGTAGAAATGTATTTCATACACTTTCATTTTAATTTTATTCAATGTTTAATCCACCGGCTGCATGAAATACTGTGTTATAAGTAAATATATGCATATATATTTAGAATGTTTAATACTTAGCTTAAGAGTCAGAATGACAACATACACTTTTTGCTTTTAGCTAAATCAGGCAAATCAAAACAAGTTTAAAATTAACCACTGAATTGTCAATGCTATTATTATCAAGAATAATTTTTGCATTATATATTTCAATAGTTTATATTGAGATTATGGTATTTATTATAGTGCATTTAGCTGCATAGCTTTGAAATTTAATTGTTTTTTAGTTATAGGCTACCTGCAATTTTCAAATCCTAAAAATGATATCAGAGATTTATAATTAGTGATGCACCAATCCACTTTTTTTACCTCCAATACGATACCGATATTTGAAGTTTAAGGTCGGCCGATACGATCCGATGCCGATACCAAAAACAGCACTAAATTATTACCTAAAAAATGGTTTTATTGTGTGAAAAAAAAAAAACAGGGTCATTCTTCTGAGCATGATTTGAATAAAAAGGCAAACATCCCAAATATAAATGCCAAATATAAATGTTATGACTCATTTACTTAACAACTGTGCACAAAATCTTAAACCAAAAGTTCTCTGACTTGGTCAACATGTAAAAAAAAAGCTTCATTATCATTATCAAGTATCATCTCTGTGATTTTTTTTGGCCTGTATATTTTTACATGGAAACATTTCACTTCCTTTGTTTGCTTCAAAAGAAGTTAGCTGCTTCCCGCTGCTTCCTTTTTGTTTGCCGAGTCCGATAATCTCAGCATGTTATGAAACTTCAGGAGGTGTTTTATTAAGTTGGCGGTGCTACAGTTTGAAGATTTAACTCCGCCCCTCGGAGCATTTTACCCACAAATATTGCACGTAGCCATTGGGCTAGAAGGCTGAGAGAGCGTAAAAAAACCTCCACACCGCAGATCCTTTCGCTCGCTCCATCATAAATATGGCCGTGTTGTGTTGTTGCGCTGCCGCTTGACGGCAGA